GGTGCCCAGGGTCTTCACTGGGAAATAGTAACGAAGTCGTGCAGCACCCGTGTAACTGACCTTATTCCTCAGTCTCTGGCTCATGGAGCAAACCGATGCAGCATGACCTAAAGCCCCCACCATAAATCACACTTGGCATAGATGACCTGGTGTGGATCGAGCCTCCAGGCGCACAAAGACACTCTTATTTGGTGGTACAGTGGGCAGGGCTGACCGCAGTGGCTCACCGAGGCTGTAGGACAGGGTAGATCCTGGGATGAATCATGCTTCCGCTACGAAACGATTAAGCTGCCTCGGCACCTCACTAGGCCCCTGAATCGGTGCCAGCTGGCTCCGGACAGCACAGAGTGAGGGCAGCACATCCAGCTTCCTGCACAGATCTCTGATCTCAGACACATTCCTCAACAGGCCACTGGTCCCTAGCACCCTCGCCACCTGCTGCCCCCCTGCGTGCCCTCCCCCAACGGTGATGTGGAAACACTACAGATGGCAGCAGGAAGGTGCTTAGTCCAGGTCTGAACCACTACAATGCTTCACTCCACTCCTCCAAAATCGGAGGGCAACGGGCCTGGAAAAGAGTGAGCTGTTCTAATGCCACCACCCTCAACCCCCCCCCACCCTGCCAACACCCACAGTTCCATGTTTCCCCCCTCCCTTAAGATATGGGAGCCTGGAGACAGGTAAGAACGAAGCCAGACACTCTTCGCCTTCTCTCCTTGGTTCTGCCACACTCCCTACTTGGTGCTACTGTGGCTGGCACTGGCTTCTCCCTTCCCTCACCCACACTCACAAAAAGGGTGACAGGGTCATTACCCTGAGGATTCAACCCTAACCAAACACCTGGGACTCTCTCACGGGAGAGCAGGTCCAAGGGAGTGGCACAGGCCTGCTTGGCTAGAGAAGACAGAGGACCGTGCTGGTGACTCCACTTAGGTAGAGGGCCGGCCTCCAAAATGACCACCATGAGTCTCATTGTTTTGTATTCACACGCTCACTTAGTTCCCTTCCATAGTGAATAGGGTACCCGATAGCATATGGGGGAGATGACAGAATGTGACTTCTGAGGCTAGGTCATAAAAGGCACTGGGGCTTCTTCGTCTTTGTTCTCTGTTGGCTCACTTGCTCTGAGGGAAGCCAATTGCCATGTTGTGAGGACACTCAAGTAGCCCCCAGCCAGGATTGCTGGAAATTCCCCCAAGCCCCCCTGGTTTGTGTGCAGGTGTTACTGAGGAGGGAAGCCTCCAGGTATGGAGAGAGAACTTTGATTGCAGGATGGGGGGAAAGTGGGGAGAATAAACCAAGGCTACCCTACCAGGATGTGGAATTGAGGAGAGAAGGTGTTTTGCAGAAAGCTCTCTGGTCCCAGTCTGAATCCACACCCTGCCCAGCCCTACAGCCTCAGTTTCCCCATATGTCAGTCTGGACACTGCCCCTCTCAGGGTCCACTGGGGGCCCCCCGTGGCCCTTGTGTTCTTGGCCTCAACACAAGAAGATGACCCGATGGCTGGGGACGGGTGAGGAGTGGACAGGGGCCTCTTTGACTCTCGGGAGGAGAGACTGGCCAGATCCCTGTAGAATGGAGCACCTGGTGTCCCTCCAGGGGCAAAGGGAGCAGAGCTGGGGGAGAACCTGGGAAAGGTTTGGGGGACTGGGGACTCCACGAGCTTGACAGGGAAGGCGGTGTGTCCAAGTTGATGGCTCCTCTGCTCAGCTTTCTGGACGTCATCTGCCATGTGAGGGCCCTCCTTGTTCCTGAGGTGTCCCCAGTGCACCCTTGGTATACAGCGGGTGCTCGACTGCTCGATAAATACTTGTAGGGGTGCCTGAGTGGCTCAGTCGTTAAGCCTCTGCCTTCGGCTCAGGTCATGATCCCAGGGTCCTGGGATCCAGCCCCGCATCGGGCTCCCTGCTCGGCGGGAAGCCTGCTTCTCCCTCTCCCCCTCCCCCTGCTTGTGTTCCCTCTCTCGCTGTGTCTCTGTCAGATAAATAAATAAAATCTTAAAAAAAATAAATAAATACTTGTAGATTAACTCATTTTCCCTGCAAGTAAAGTGTTTATTGTCGCCCATTTTACAGAAGAGAGAACCAAAGTCTGGCATCTCTGGCACCATGCCAGGCACTGAAGTTGACTCCCCCTCTCTGGGTACTCACAGGCACCAGGACCTATGGGGGGAGGAGCGAGCCCGCTGCAGGTGGTTATGCAGCAGGGCTGAAGTAGGCAAAGGGAGGGCAGGGAGGGTGGCCCCAGAGGCTGGAGGCAAGGGTGGGGAGGAGGCCCCCATCACCCTGGCCCCAGGGTGGTTTTCGGCAACCCCTTTGTTCGTGGGCAGTGGGTGGGCAGGCATTGAGGTAGTAATTAGCAGACGGGAATGTTCAGGACCCCTGGGATCTACCATCAGCATTTTAAGGGAGGAGAGACTGGGGCCTCTGTCTCCCAGTTGGGAGAATGGAGAAGCCATACTTTCCTTACCCCCAGGAGGAAGCTAATTAGGATGAGGGGAGGGGTCAGCCCTGCCCACTGCCCTCAGCCACCCCCTTACTGCCCCAGGTCCCTCTCCTTGATGCCAGCTATTTCGAAGATACAGGTCTCCTTCCAGGAAGCCTTTCTTGAACACCCTCAGGCAGGGAGCATTTTCTTTCCCCCCTCTGTGCACCACCAGCTCAGGGCCCCTTTCTGACTCCCCTGGCTGGGCCCGACCTCTGCCCCTCCCCGCTCTCCCAGCCTGGGGTGGAGGAGGGAAGGGGTGAGAAGAGGGATATCGGAGACCCCATGGTAAGCCTACCATGGCCCCCAAAGATCGCCAGATCCTAATTCTCAGAATCTGTGAATCTGCTACCTAAGTGGCAGAAGGGACTTCGCAGATGTGATTAAATTAAGCTGTCGATCTGGGGAAATTATCCTGGATTATCGGGGCGGGCTCAATGTTGTCACAGGACCCTTATAAGTGAAAGCGGGAGGCAGGACAGTCAGAGCTTTCGAAGATACGATGCTGCTGCCTTTGAAGACAGAGGAAGACAGGTGCCTGGTCGGCTCAGTCAGTAAACCATGGGACTCCTGATCTTGGGATTGTGAGTTGGAGCCCCATGTGGCGCGTAGAGATTACTTTAAAAAATAAAAACAAAATATGAAGGAAGAGAAAGAAGCCAAGGAATATACAGCTCTAGAAGATGAAAAGCTAAGGAAATTCTCTCCTGGACTCTCCAGAGGAGTTAGCCCTGAGGACACCTGACTTTAGCAGTAAAAATGATTTCAAGACTCCTGGCCTGCAGAACTATAAGATAATTAATGTGTGTTTTTCTAAGGAACTCAGTTATTTGTTGCAGCAGTCAGCGAAAACTAATCTAGACCACCAACCCTGCTCCGGCATGACCGAGTCGTCCCCCCTTGGATGTCCTGATGGGCCCCCTCTGGCTTCCCAATCGGAAGCAGCGCCTCCCATCAAAAGGAGCTCCGCTGACATGCCTAGACCAGGGTGGCTATGAGCTAGTTGAGCCTGGAGTGCCCACAGGCATTCCCAGGCTGCCTCTTGGTCACCTGCAAGGCTGTCATTCCCCAGAAAACTATCTGGCACCCCCTGTATGCCAGGCACTGAGGACACACATATAAACAAATCAAACCCTCCAGCCCCATTCCCACCCACAAAACAGAACCCTGACCCTGGGTGAAGGGAGACAGGATGTGGGCTCCAGAGCCTGGGGGGAAACAGAAGGCCTGTATTCAGTTTGTGTAGAGGGGGGCAGCCGTCTACCCTGTGATGACTAACCCAGGAAGGCTTCTGAGAGGAGGACGGGAACCCGAGAGCCGCCCTCCCTGTAGGCTCCTGTCCAGGGCTGAGGCTTCACCTAGGGGAATAACAGCGATGCCAAAAGAAGGGTGATGGACCTCTGGAGGAGGAGGTGTCATAACTGGCCCTGAGAAACGGATGAGTGGAAATGGGGGTGATGGGGGTCCTAGCACCTAGGGAGAGAGGCCAGGGAGATGCAGGAGCACCCACCCCCAAAATCATGTGGCACTGACCCAGAGGACAACCTTGTCTTTGAGCCTTGGTGACCACAGCGGCCCCACAGCGTGTCAGGAGGATCCCAGAAGCCACGACCCACAGCAGTAGTTGAGGCTCCCATTTGCAAATTGGTGCTCAGGACCGAGTGGGAGCTAATCTTAGAGGCTCAGGCCCTATGTGTCCCTCCTCAGCCCTGGCCAGGGCACCCCTGCCCCTTCAAGCCCAAGCCCCAGCCATGTGTGCAGAAAGACAACCCAGGACCCGCATGGAAACAGCTGGATCCCACCCAGACCCAACCTGCATGCAGCAGAGTGAAAAATAAACTCCGCAGCCTTGGTGGGGGTGGGGAGGGCTGCAATGGGCCAGGCAGGGGTCTATGACCAGAGACTAACAGCAGTAGCAGCTCTGCCACCAAACATAGGGGCCTCCAGCCACCTGCAGTGAGCCCGCAGGGTGAGTAAATCAGAGCCTCCAGCCCTAGCTGCTAGCTGAGGATGCTCCCCCAGGGGCCGATGATGACCCAGGGGTGCACTCAGCAGGACCCTCCGTGGGGGCTGATGGTGCCCCTAGCAGGGTACCTGCGCGATGTTGGTCAGAAGGGCTCCCTCGCTGGACTCCCATGGAGACGAGGTTTAGGAGTGCCCCCCAGAAGGACCTTGTCAAAGATGGGGGTCAGGGCAGCCTGAGCTGGATGCCCACAGTGACTGGGATCATGGGTGCTCCCAGAGGGCCCTTGTGGGAAGGAAGGCAGGGGTTGCTCCTTGGGAGGGTCCCTGCTCCCTGGTGATGATGCCTGGAATGACCCCCCTAGGCCTCCCCTCAGAGAAATGGGTGCTTTCCACGCACCTTGCTAAGGCCTCCCCTAGGATCAAGGCAAGTGATCCTGGCAGGTCCCCCGCCAGGAGGACACGGAGGTCCGCAGGCCCGGAGAGAGGACCTGCAGCACAGAGGCATTCAGCGCGGCCCCCACACCCTCCTCCCACCCGGGCCCCGCGGAGCTCAGCGCGGGCCAGCCTCGGGCCCCCACACGCCCTCCGGGGCTCTGTCCAGCAACCCCTCAGCCTCCGCCGTGTCCTCCGCAGCCCCTGGCAGGGCGCTGTCCAGGCCAGGGCCCACGGGGCGCGGCGTCCAGGGGGTCCCCGCCGTGGGCCGTGGCGGGAACCAGGAGAACCCGGGCGCCGGGGCGAGCGCCACGAGCTGGGGCCGCACGGGGCCGGAGGCGGCGGCGTGGGGGATGAGGAAGAAGATGTAGACACCCGAGACGACGAGGCCCGCGGCCACCAGCACCGCCAGCGCCACTGCCGCGTTGAAGGCCCAGGCCGGGCTGGAGAAGGAAAGGCGGCG